AATGTTTTCTTCATGGGTGGCAAAAATACTTCCTGTGTTCTCTGAACACCTGCATATAGATAGAAAGGTGATAAATTCTTTCAAAATTGTTGTTTTTTTTTTTTTTTTGTCATTGTTTGGAGTGATTTTAGGTCTTTTAGAGTCCGCGTTAAATCAAAGTAGGTAACTCACTTGCTGCAAAGGAGCGCATTCTTCATTTACACTGTTTCCATAAATCCACTCATATGTGTTGCTATTTATTACAGAGTGTTGCGTGTAACTTCAACACCTCGATCACATGAACTCACTGCTGTCTCTATTACTTTCTTGACAGGTCGTTTCTTAGACACAATCGCGCGCAGAGAATTGTGGCAAAATGGCCTGGACTACAGGCATGGGACGGGGCACGGTATTGGCATGTTTCTCGGTGTACATGAAGGTGAGATGAGGCAAGATAATGAGTTGGGATATTACAAAAACTCCGTAACAACAGCTCCGTGTCTATTTTTGTGACACACTGTTGTATGTTGTAGGACCACAGAGAATAACCGTCGGCTGCCCGAGAGCATATGAAAAACCAATCGTTCCTGGAATGTTTCAATCAGATGGTAAGCTTAGCGTATTATTATTTCTTAGTGTAGTTATCTACGAAAATCATCCTGGGAGGGTGTAACGAAAAAGATTGAAGTATAATAATTTGGAAGGTAAGAAATTATCGGCAGTTTTCTACGACATTTGTTAAGTATCAGATGAAAAGGGCGTTTAAATGAGTTTCATCCGTACGTTACAAACCAAACCATGGTGCAAGTTAAGTCCAGTGACAATTTATGGCCCTGAAATAAATAGTTGCAGGTGAAAATTGAAGTTTTCTCATTTCTAACGGGGACCCTTCTTTTTCTTCAGAGCCCGGATATTACGAAGATGGTAAATTCGGCATCAGACTTGAAACTGTGGTCATGGCAGTCCCCGCGAAGACACAAGTAAGACTAAAAAATCCCAAAGAGTCTCGGTTTTTTCTGTGTAATAATATGGATCAGAAATTGGGGTTAGTTCATAGCAAAATGTACTTCCTCCTCTATGACTTAAAACCTAAAAAGAGTGGGAAAGTTTTCTTGGTGTTAGTCTGTGTTTATTTCTGGGTTTATGTGGTTATATTCTTTTTTCCTTTCTTTTGTTAGAACTCCTTCAATGACAAGCAGTATGTGACATTTGAAGCAGTGTCCTTTGTAAGTGCACTAACTTCAACTTTTTATTTAGCTTAAATTCTTCTTTGTTAGAGCGCCTTGCTGTTTTTAGTGTATTTTATCGCTCGGTAAACAAATGCGTTGAGATAATGGCAATTTGTTTAATTGGCAGCTACCGTACTGGAAGAGTTTGATCGACTTGGATATCATGACTCCCACTGAGGTATTTTAATTTAGAACATACCAGATATCAATTTTACATTTTAAAACAGTAAAAACAAGATACTGTACGCTGTGATTAGTTAACACCTCAACTCTGTTAACAAGTTTAAAATATACACATAAAGTCCTGACTCAACCGCTAAATGAAAAGATCAAAATAATTTTCCAGTGAAAATAGGTCAGCTATCAAATTAATACAGAACCAACGTCACCGACAGAAAAAAAAAAAAATCTTCTTAAATATTCACCAGGCTAAAAAATCAAGTATCCCATTTTTTTTTTTAATTACGAATATGCCACTTACAGAGGGTCCACAATAGGTTTGGCGGGATGCGGGATTTGGCTTTTTTTTCGCCGTGATATTTGGGATTTGAGCTGAAACCAGGGGCGGGAAGCGGGAATTACAAATATGAGCGGGAGCGGGATTTCGTGTTTTTATGGGGTTGAGATGTGGGATTCGCAAGGGGAACAGAGCGGGATACGGGATTTCAATTCTTACATGACCATATAAATTATTCTTGACCAGCGTAAAAACCACAAGCTGGCAGAGACGAATGCGTATAGCTGTGTCAGGTTTATAGCAACGGCTCTGCACCCTGTCAGGTTCTGTCAAACGTATCCATTATCGCTTGACTACGTTAGTATCATGAGACTGTATGAGGTCTTTGAGTCCTATTGCAATCATTTGTGTTGACCTCTGACATCTGTCCATTCCTGACATTTTCGACGCTTGCGTCAGTAATCTTTGCCCCCCGATCCTTTATAGTTTGTCTAGTCTTTCAACCTTTTCCAGAGCACTTGGCTTTTTTTTGGCCAGAACTTCCTCACCGAATGGCTATGACAGTGGTTTACCGAGTGAAGTATGCGACATTATGATTTGCGTCACCATATATTGCGAAAAGGATGTGCAGGCCGTCACTCAGAAAAGTTCTGAGGCCAGACCTCAAGGAAAGTGAAGGGGTTTAAAGCTTTGAAAGAAACTGTCAAGTGTGTTAACAGGCCAACTCTTAAATATGGGAATGAACAATCATTTTCTTTTAATAATATGTGGAGAAAAGAAAACAAAACAGTAAACCGTGAACAGAAAGAAACGTTATAATCACTTGTGTTTGTCTGCTAGCCATTGAATTCTTTTGTGGTCTTTAATGCGATATCTATTTTTTAAAAGTTTGTGTTAATAATTAAATTAACAAGTTAATAATTCACGCAGAAAGGTCTGAAAAGTGGGCGGGATCGGGATTTCCAGACAAAAAAAGGCGGGATGGCGGGATTAACAGGAAAAAATGGACGGGAAAGCGGGATCTGAGAACCCTATGGTGGACCCTCACTTACAGACATTCAACACCTAACAGAATGCAGTATGCAGAAAGATTGTCACATAAACCAAGTTTAATGGCCTTACTTCCCACGTGTCTCCTGTAGCTCAGTGGTTGCATCTGAACTGGTCACCACAAGATCTTAGGTTTGATTCCTGGCTGCCTGTGTCAGTGACAGAAAAATCATCTTCTCGTGTATGTACCAGACAAAACATCCTCCATCTCATCAGTTGTTTACCATCGCGCATATTTTGAACCCGTTTGATTGGGACTGCGCTTGTTTTGAGTTCTCTTCAGTTTTCTGTTTCAGAATGAGCTTTTAGACAGCATTCTGTCTTTTCTACTCCTAATTAAGACTGGACAGATAAAGTTTACAGAATAGGCAAGAACGCCTGCCATTGTGGATTCCTCTCTCTATATATATGCAGAAATCTTTATCCATCGCGTTTATTTCCGTTTTCCGCCCTGATGGTTGTGACAGAAATACACGAAGTAAAGATTGTAACCTCTTTTCTCTGAGATGCGTGGGATGTATTCTAGCGGGGAGGAGTGGGGGATGTATGCGAGGTATATGCGAGAGACACGAGCGTTTCAATCCTACGAGGAAACGAACTACCCGGTAAAAAGCTGCTAGAGAAAAACGAAAAGACAACAATAGTTAAGCAAATTGACAACTCTTCATCTTATTGCAGATTGAATGGCTCAACAACTACCATAAGCAATGCCGGGAGAAGATTGGCAATATGTTAAAAGACCAGGACAAAACCGACGTGTACAATTGGTTGGTCGAGTTAACTGAGCCAGTTGGCAAAAAAGGACGGATACCGGCAGCAGGAGCCAGGTCGCTTGCAGTGTCTGCTGTGATCACGCTTTTTGCAGCCCTTGGGTTGTTTCTTCACATGTGAGATACAACTTATCTCTGGTCGTTTTTAGAGTGCTGAGTGGTAGAATGAATGTCATAGAAGCTGATGTAATCTTTTAAAGTGTCAAGTGTATTGATAATCTGTACTTTATGAAAGTTGTCGTAGGTGTTGTAAAACTACAGTGCCTCATTGACGGCGATCTCGATCTAGTTTTCCAGCTCATTTCTGTAGTGTTTTTCTTCTAAAGTAATGGGTTTTTAAAGTACTATTATTTGAGTCATACCGGAAAAATCTCGGCCTCGATATATACTACGGGTTGAGACAAAAAAAGTTGTCACTTTTGTTCGTTGTTAGGTTTTAACGTTCATCATATTTTTATTTTGAAATTTGAGGGCATCCTTTTCTAGCCCATGCCGTAACCATAACTGCTGTTTAAAACCTTATTACGCTCTAAATAAAGGAAAATAATCATATACTCATCGTATTGTGTGCTATCGATTGTAACTTTGGGGGCTAGTAACTGTACTTGGCCATATCCTAAACAAATGCCATTCTGTGAGACGATAGTTAATAGAGGGAAATGGTTATGAAGCCCGGCAAGCATCAAAGGAGCAACCAAAGATGCCAAGATTTATGTTGGAAGGTCACGACCGTGTACAATCTTTTGTTTTACGTTCATACACTCAATCAAAACGGTTCTATTGGTTAGTTCCTCGGTCAGAAGTAAACAACCATTGTGTTTGGTGCACGGTCAAGGCCAAAAAAGAAAACAAAAACTTACAGCAAAGAACTTTGTCGAGTTTCATAACCATACCCCTGTAGTAACTATGGTGAGACAGAGACTGGGGCACGATTGAACCAGGCGATCCCTCTCTTTCTGGTCGGTAAGAGACGAGAAGGAACCTCCGTTCATAACCGCACATATAAAGAGGGGAATCTGTCTTGCAAGGTATACTGGCACGGGCAGTCCTTAAAAAAACCGCGTTAACTTCATCGTAAAATCACAGAGATACATTTATTTACTGTAGATCGTTTTCACTTGACGTCATCATGTTCTAAAATCCAAACTAAAGAGCCACCAAAGTTTTAATTTTCACCAGGTATAAGAAATACTAAATTTATATCTGTTCACCTCAGTAGCGTGCTCAGCCCATTGTGAATTTCAGAGTTGTGGCGGTGCGTGACTTAAAACTACGATTACGTTTCTCGAAAAATATATGCTTTTGCCATAGAAAATACATCCAATCAGAATACAGGAAAGCCGTTGTATATTCGACGGTATTACTCGCAACCTTCCCATCATGTGTCGTGCGTATGTCGCATCGATTGTGTTGGCTTATATATTTTCTATGGCATGTTATAAGATAGTTATGTAACGCTCTCTTGTGGTATACCATGGAATGTCCTACTTGTTACTTGTTTTCTCGGTATACATACCGAGAAAACACAATTGACTCGTGGGATATTGCATGGTATACAACGAGAAAGCGTTGCACAACTAGAATTTATCGCGATTTTGAGCCTTTTTAGAAGTTAAAGTATTAGGAAAAGTGCTTAAGTAAACGTTTGTTTGTTGAGTTCAGAAAATCAGTCGCCTAGATAGCCAAAGTAAGTTCAAGATGTTTACACTATTTTCTGGCCGCCATATTGTTGTACCACAGAGTACGCAGCACGTCAACATGGTGGCTCCATACTGGCCTCTGTAAATTTTTGCAAAACATTTCGACGAATATCTGAAGTTTGGGAAAACGCAGAGACCCAAAACTTGGAGAAGTGTCTTCTTAATTTATTTCCTATCACAATTTTTGACTTTACCCCGTAAATGGTTTTGGAATTTTTTTTTTATTTTGGGAGACAGAGAAAACGATCTATAAAGTGATTTTCAACTAAGTGTCGTAAAACCAAAAGCAAAGCTAAGTAATCAGTCTAGTCAATCACATCCAGCGAACCAATCAGAACTCGGAGTTGACGCGTACCGCGGGAAAACGTATGCGAACGAGTCACGGTTGCTTTTGGTTTCACTTCCAATTACTTTTCGACCTTCACATGAAAACCGCTCTACAACATTTTTCATTTGGTGAATTGCTGCCAATAAGATTGAAGTTTCTTAATTGGCCATTGTTGATCAAATATTTATCTCACTGCCGTGACAGACGGCATAAGCAACCTGTAAGACTCTTCAAGTTTCCGGTGCAAGCAAAATGAATTAGTAAGCAATTTATACCCTTTATACCCAGCCAATTTATACCCAGAAAACACCAGCCATTCTTTGGCAACCAACACAGGTGTTGTAAAAAAGGATGATGTATGCCTCCAGCGCAAAGTTTCTGTGGGATTCAAATGAGCTTATCCCTCAGAAGTGTCTGTTTATAACTTTAAACTTTAATGCCCTGCTGATGATGTGACCACACACAAAATATACAGAGATTGCTTCACGTACATTGTATACTAAAATTCTGAATTAAGGTCGTTTTCAGTTAAAGATTACCTAACTGATATTCAATAATAAATAATATCTCAGCGAATAAATAACTCTTGTAATTAAAAATCGATTTTATCATACATCAAGATTCCTGTAACACTGTGCGTCTACTATTGACAAGAACAAGATGGATGCAGGCTCCTCTAACTAACTTGGACGAGTTTGTTCAGATTTCTTTCATCATAATACGGGATTGACTCAACACTGTGTAGTGTTAATTATTACTCCTGAGGCATTCAATATTCATTGATATTACTTAATTTCTACTTCGGATACTATTTTATACAATAACTAAATTGCTTTGTGAATTTGTCAGGATAATTTTTTCACTTTACAACACTCTCCCCACCCCACCCCATGGAAAGCCTTTCTTCCACACCCACTGCTTAAGATCCCCACCCCTCACATGACACATGTCAACTGATTGTAAAGTGTCAGGCCCCTTTCGTATAGCTTGCATGTATTTAATCTCATTGTTCAAAACTTGAAATTCTATCTCATCATTACTGTATAGAGATCCAATGAGATGGCTACGCGCATGCGCATAATTAGTGCTTTCGGCGCGGACATCATAGTATTCCGGACAAATATGTCGCTGTTTTTTCGCAGATTTCTCAAATTTTTCTGAGAAAAAAGTTGCCCAGTCGGTATCTAATGTCGTTATCCATGTCGGCAACGACGGGGGATCCCTCAGCAACACCCTCGGGCTCAAAAATTAGAACTTGATGGCGGCAGCAAAAATTTCCGTCTGCGACAGCCTGAAGATCGTCCTTAAAAATCAACCAAATCCCGACAGACAAGCAAAATCAGTCAGATCACAACAGCTGTGAATGACTGGGTGACTGTTGCTCCGACTCGGAGTCTCAGAGCCAGACCAACATCGTAGGGAACCTGAGCCAGGCTTATCTACCTAACACGAAATAATCCCCAGCTACTTAGTGAAAAACTACAGAAATAATTGACAATATGTTGACGGATGACCTCTCCACCGACATTAAGAGAGTATGGACACATATTTATCACAACAGAATATCACGCTTCTCAACGTCAAGAGTGCCAGTGAAGAGGTGTGGGACTTGCTCCCACGTCGAAGCCAAAGGATGGACTGAGTGTTTCAAAAAGTACAGGAGCTTTTGTTGCTCGGCTAAGCTTGTTAGCTCTACCCAGTATGGCGAAATGTCAAAAACAAAGTTAACTCTCACGGTTATCATGGATAGCACCGCCCTCCTGTTCAATACAGCCACCACAAGCAGACATCTCTTGGAGCAGTATGATGACTTGATAGGATTCCAATCAAACTTCACTTTACAGGGAAGTAAGTCTTGTTTAATTTTTTCATTTTTTGTCGTGCAAAATCCCATTGAAAGACTGATTATGAAAAAGAGAATGTCCTGGGCAAATAAATTATAAGCTTCCTGGCCCAGGATTGATTTTGGAAGTATTTTCCATTTTAAATTAAACAAATACAGATGCTAAAAAGCAAGGTCTTGGTCTGAAACTATGTTTGTACTTGGATAAAAAGCTGAACAGTAAGACATTCTAAATGCAAGTACGTATTTTCTCGATTAAATCCCTCCCTCCTCTCCTATCTTATTTTTGAGAGCTAAATATAATCACGAATGAATGGATGAATGAAACCGGAATGAACCATACCTAAAGTTTATTATACTTTGAATGTAAATTCCTCGCGGATCTTATGAACGAATCTACCTGGGACACCCGGCGTTTATTCGGCACCTGGCGATTAATCCAGAAAATACAGTATTTAATATTACATGATAAACTTCTATCATAAGATCTCTGTCATGGTTTAGCTAGTCTGTCTCTGGCTCTCTATATCCTTCACTGTGCATCTTCTTGCCCATCACTTCCAAGAAGGCTTTGGCTTCTATCTCTGTGTCCAATACACTCTTTTTTTCCAACTAAAACAGACGGGACAAAATATAGATAAATGAACAAATGAACGAACAAAGGAACAAAGGAAGTAAGTAAGGAAGAAAAAAGGAATGGGAATAATTAAGAACACAGAGAGCTGCAATGTTGTTTATGCCGTTATGTGTTTATCAAGGATACATCACACTGTCCATTGAAATGTGTGGAGTGGAATCGTCAATTGCTGGGTTAAGTATGAAGAAGGAACAAAATTCCTTGATAACTACATTACTTCACTCTCAACTGTCCAATGTTGAAATAACTTACAAGAGAGACTAACAATTATGATCTTGCAAGCGAATATATGAAAGATCATATACAAATATATCTTCTTCTAAGTGCTGGTGCAGACATTAACAAATACTAAAATTAAAGCCAAACAAGAGTTTGATTGTTGGAGTTCAACATTACACCATCCAGTTGATATAGTTGATATATAGATTCAAGTTTAACATTAAACCTCCTAGTATAGTTTTTTACTGTTTTTTAGGAGTATCCAATTAAAGCATTAAAGCAAGGTTTATCAGTCGGGGGTTCACTCTTTGCATATTGAACAGGGCTTTTCTGATCCTGTTGCTAATTGCTTGCGGTTACAGCGGATGCTTAGACAAGGTGATGCTTCTCGGCTATACTTCAGTACCAGTTACAGACGACATCTTGATGGTGATTTTTCGTGCATTGGACTAGAGCCTTCCAGACCACTGCATGTTTTAGGCAGCGTGTAATTTAGCTGTTTTTGGTTTCTTTTACCGTCCTGAATCTTGCTAGTTTTTCATCTGCTATCCACCTAGGTGCAGCCAACAGATGATTCGGATACATCTCCTTCAGGATCAAGGCTTCTAAAACAGCTACAATCCGCAAGAGCTGTTTCTTGTACATAGGCAAGGGCGAGTACCCTCTGTGTGCAATCCATTCTCTCTTGGCTTATTTGTCGTTGACGGGAGATGTTCCAGGCCTTTTGTTTCTGTTTCGTGATGGACGGCCATTATCCCATGTCATATTGTCTTCGTGGTTGCGAGGCATCGTATCATCAGTTGGCATTCAAGGCAATTTTTCCAGCCACAGCTTCCGCATTGGAGCGGCAACCGAAGCTGATAGGAACGGCATCCCAGACCATCAGATCAAAGATCTGGAGCACTGCGGATTCGCTGTCACGACTTTTGAAGCAGCTCGTGTCTTAAGCTACTAGCTGATCACTTAGTTCGGATCCACAGGGATCTGAAGTGACTGTCAGGCCTTTGCTTGGCTTACGTCCAATCTGAGTGGCTTTTGTCGGCTCAGTTATGTGTGAATGATGTTAGTCTGTTCTCCATGATGCTTCCCTTCATGTAACGAACAAAGGTCATGACAAAGCTCTGCTACGCTAGAGAGTGATAGTTATTTCTGTCTCTAGGCCTTAGTTCTTTGCACTGGCTCAGTCCATGTCAACGCTGCCAGGCTTGGTACGATCTTGCTGTTTCTCGTCAAGCCGACATTTGTTGTGCTGGGCATCGTGATGTAGCCGGCTTTAGTTTCTACCTTTCGTCTGGCTATGGATCTGGGGCGTGGAAGGTTTGGTGGGTCTGGGTCTCGCCTCCACTCTGTTCGCGGGCCTATTGCCCTCCGAGCACCTTGGGGGACAGGGTCTGGTAATTGCCGCACACAGGGTTGTCATGGGTACCCTACGCACTCGGCTCAGATTGCTCGTGGCTCGGCACCATTCTCTAAGCTCTTCTTTTGTTGATGAGTACAATTGGAAGCTAAGAAAACATCATTCAGTACTTAAAGCCCTTGATTGGCAACTGAACTCCCTATTCTCGCCCCGTTTGATTTTATATCAAAACATGCGTGTGTCGTTTTTCAGCTTTACATTTATTGTTAAGGCTAACCTGGGTTATAGCTCACCTCATTTTCTGGGGGTACACCGACTCCCCAGACCTCCAGCTTGTCAAGCTTAAACTCTTCCTCTGCAGAGAGTTGTGGGCTGCCATATGTCGTACAGGAGGGTTGACCACGACTATGCCCTGAACCAAAATCATCATCCAGCCAAAACCCAAAGTAGTTAAACTGACCACCCATACCCTGCAAAAAAAATTCTTTTCATGTCATGATGTTACTCACTATTTTTCTACTGGTAGCAAAAGAAGCATGTGAATTGAACAAAGTATTAATTTTAAAAATCTTCTTCTCAATGGCAAACAAATGTACATGTATAATATAACTCAAAGACAAAATTAAGCTCTGGTAAATAATTATTCTAAAATAAGATACGGGGTGCATATGGTAGTATTGATCTATTAAGTGATAAGTCAGTGATGGGACAAAATAACAACTGTTATTGGTCACGTGAATGTAAATAATTCTGCACTGCTTACCAGTCCATTGGGCATTGTTTGCATGCCCATATTGAGATACATGAAGTTCTCGTTGTAGCCAGTAGGGTGATACACACCCATGTTAGGCTTTACGCTAAACAGAAAGCAGTAGCTATCACCTACAGAGAGATTAAGAATACAGATGATGTGGTTAATTAAAATACGCATTACCAAATACATGTAAATGTTATAAAAGATACAGTTCTTTTACCTTCAATCTTGCAAGCACTGAAAACGGTTAGTGCAAGTGCACTTCAGATTCCCTACCCTTTCATTCCCAGTCTGAAAATGTTTCCATTCTGGGCAGAGCCTCCTCGTTTTGTCCATCATTAAAGGAGTGCCCCCTCCTCCTGGGGTATAGTTAAGGTGTGTGTGTCAAACTGCTTGGGGTTATTCAAGGGGAAGAGGCTTCTCACCAGCGACCACAAATACATGGATATAAGTACCTGGGACACTAATTGGCCCTAAGCAAATGCTCTTTAGGCTTTAGCATATTTTTCCACCATTATAAGCTTAAAATATATAGTATATACTCACCTACAAAATGAGACTTGATAGTCCAACTCATTGAGGCAAACCCTCCAAAGACATGTCCACTAGTGTCTCTGACCACAATTACCACAGGTCCTTGATTGGTTATTTGGTGAATGAAAGCACTGAAGCTCTCACCATGAATCTGAGTTGAGAACAAAAGCCGCCATCGATGTTGCTGTGATGCCGGTAAGTGATGATTAATGAGGACAATAGATGGAATATCCAACAGTGAATCAATTTTACTGAAATCCACTTCAAACTTGCATGGCATTATGATGTGTGACCTGACATATTTAAAGTTGAAGTTTAACAATGAAAAACAAAAATGAAATAAAAAAATAGAACAACAACAAAACTATGTAGCACCTACGTACAAATAAAGACTCAAAACCCAAATCTATCAGCCTCCCCTGGAGGTGTTCAGTTAGTTTGAGGCGTGGGAGGTGGGGGTGGGGAGGGGCACACATGATATTTTACTTGCTATGACTTGCTGTTTTTCCCACTTACCCAAACACCTGGAACAGGTTGTGAATTTGCCTGCAAAACTTGCAACACAGTTTCAGAAGATTATCAGTTGTCACAGAGTTTAATTACGTTGTAGATTACATGCACCACCTTTAGGTATTATGCTGCAGTACTGACCTGTCATACTGAACATGTGCAACTGTCTCTTCACATCCTTCATCCAGTCCATGAGGCTTCTCTTCTAACAGACTCTCCACATCAAGGAAACAAGCTCTTGACACAGCAAGAAACAAATTTTCAATCAGTGGAAACTTACCAAACCATGAGACAACTTCCTCAGGAGAAACACAACTAGGATCTGTTTTCTTCCCTAGAAGATCTTTGATGGCATTTTTGGCAAATCTATGGTTTGCTTGTGCATTTGTTTGCAGCTTCCATTCTGCACCAATGCTTGTCTTCTTTAATGCAATTACATAGGCATCCAATAGTGTTTTACAGAGATCTTCTACCTCTACGCTGGTTACAACTTGATCAACATCAGCTGTTAAGTAGTAAAATATGTGTGCTTTCTCTTCTCTGCTTCTTTTAAAGATATGAGACATGGACACAAAGAAAGCCACCTTTCCCACTTGTCCATTCTGCAGCGGATTTTTCAAAGCTCTACGAGCCCGCTGAATATTGCACATTTCTTTAAAGAAACGGTCAATGATGGGCTCTGGCAAAAGCCATGTCAACTGGTTCTGCAATTGAGCAAAACAAAGTAACATGATTATCATTTTAAACTGACTTGTACTTGTAAGCTCGTACATTCTCATGCTGTGATTTAAAACATGTTTTACATTGAAAGCATTCAGCAGTTTCTTATTCATTCTCTACTGTTTCAGTATATTGTGCAGTTCAAGAAAATATCCATACTCTCCCCACAGAAGGGATTGGAATTTCCTGGGGGGACGGGTGGGGGATTCTGTAAAACCAAAAAATTTAAAGAAATGTATGAAGCTTAACTGGAATTTTCAGAGGGGTGGGGGTCTTGTAATAAATCCCTTCTGCTGGGCAGGTATGGATATTTTCTAGAACTACACATTTACTATTAAAACAAAAGAAAGGGTAACCTGAAAACACTGACCCTTGGTCCACAGACCCCCCACTATGGACTGGGTTCATGGACTACCCTATGGACCCCCTCTACACACAAACCCCAAAAATAAATTTAAAATTATTAGAACAAATATAGACCTACTGGGTGTCTAATAGATAACTTGTGTTCTGCAAAATTTTGAGTGTTATGCTATGCAAATGTACCAGACTTGGGTTCAGGTTCAAGGGCAAGTTACATCATTACACACTGCCATTTCCTTTGTTGTGGCTATTTATGAGAGACCGGGAGGCCTAGAAATTTGTGCCCTTTCCCTCCGCCATTTATGTCCAGCCCATTCTCTTGTGGGTTCATGAAGTCATCCTAGACTTCAAAATTTGTTCAATGGAATAACAGATACAAACAATCTTAAAAGACCCTAACATTATACAACAAATCTTAGGTCATCTTTTGTGGCCAGATTCAGCCACCCATGGAAGGTAAGAACTTTCTTTCTTTTTGCCATTGGCATCTCTTTTTGCAGAAAACAGCTCTCAGAAATTATTTTGGGGGATTTTAAAAAGCCAAGTATGGTACATTTGTATAGCATGACACTCAAAATTTCACCAACACAACTGATCTTTTAGACAACTTGTAAGTGAAATCTTCATTTGTTGTTGGGTGGTCTGTAGAGGGGGTCTGTAGGGGTAGTCTGTTGACCTGTCAGTGTAGTGGGGTCCACAGACTGGGGTCAGTGTTTTCAGGTTACCCCAGCAGAAGACATAAACTTAATAAATTTATAAAATTGCACACCATAAACAAATCGAAACTATAAGTATATTTATTTATAAATATTCTCATCTTGAGTTCTCCCAAGATTTTTTGAGTTCTCTCAAACTTGCACAAACTTGTTTCATGATAATAATGGTAGTAAATACATGTAACTTTATATTAACAAGGAGAAAATGTTCTCTATTTCTGTTACAAGAAGCTGCAAGAAAAAGAATGGAAAATTTACAATATTATTACTTTCATAATTTATTGAAATGTCAATTCTCTTGCTCACAGCATCATTATGTCAAAGCTCATGAACAGAACTGACTTTTAAATGTTGACCTCTGTGTAACATGTATGTATACAAACATAGAGATAGTGGTATATGTATACAGTTAAAGTAATTCTTTAATACCTGTACGACCATTATGTTGTGATAAGCTCTATTAATCTGAGCCAGTGAAATTAGCAATTTTACTGTCAGTTAATATGAAAACTACTTATAACTAATATAATCTTCCTTGTTGGAAATATGCAAAGAGGTGATGCATAAAAAAGACACGTCTAAATAATATATTGCTGGAAAAAGGTCCAGTCAATTTATAATAATCATACTTAAAATGGCTTGGTTGATTTTCGTCTTATAACCATCTCATGATCATAAACATTAACACAATCACCAGCAACTTAAACCTTTATCTTCATCTAGTTTTAAATACGGTTAGATTTTTGGTACCTTGAGGCCACTGATGGTCAGATTAGTACTAAGATTTAACTGAAACTATAAAATATACTTGTTTATTAAATATTATGACTTTTCCCTGATGTCAAACTGTAAAAGTTAGTACTAAGAGTTTGTTTCACAAGTAAGGGAATATTGACTGAGTTGAAATTATGACCTCCTGAAATAATCTGTAACTTAAAACAAAAGCCGCCATATAACATCTCTAGATTTTATCCAACAAATGATTTTCAGCAAGGCATGCACGTATGTAACTCTGTATGTTAATTGATCCCTTTAATTACACTTTTAAAGATACAGAAAAATAACATTAGCTGCAGCTGCAGAGAGTCATAAACAAGAACAGCTGCTCTTTAGAAGTGAAGTCTTAAAATGATGGGCCTTATATGGGCATGACATATACGTTTACCTCAAGTCAGCACTATATATAACAGTATATCTACTGCATTTCATGCTCTAAAAGGAAAAGTTAAACATTTGTCAGTTAATGTGAGTGCTTTAAAACTTTGTACACTACTGAAAGTAATATATGTTCTTCAGATCACTTTCCTTGTACCACACGGGTTGCATTCTGATTTGCATTTGCTGTACATGTACTCACACAAAAATTGGAAAACGCTGCATTAGCTTGCAATGCAAAGCACTTTTTATTAAATGTCAGGCTGACCTCCTTTGTACCTTGAAAAAGATTTTTAAAAAATTGCTGAGAAAGATCAGATCTATTTACATTTATTTGACAATGTATATCCTATACCCAGATACAACTGGAAATAGCAGTCAATATCGAATGCAATTTTATCTGGAAATCCACTGACAATTCTACCATTCTTGAAATTGAATTTTTTGTGGAAAAGTGTCAAAATGAACATTCTAGTTTAGCTCACGTTTATTCAGAAAACTGTTAAGAACGGTAATCACGGTCCACAAAAGCCAGCCCCCCTAATTAAAATTACATCTACGAATTAAAACTAAAATTTTTTTCGGTACGAAAAATACAGCACCAGGAAAAATGTTTCTAACACTAGTGAATGAGAATGTAGCAAAAACAAAACACAACCTTGTGTAAATAAAATTTGTTATGACAGCAACAGATAAGCCTCAATGATTTCAACTCAAGGGAAACGAACAAAAATACATGGACAGCTGGAAATCGAAGGCGTCAAAACTATTGGCATTAACACAAAGAGCTGCGTCAAAAAACAAGATGTGAACCAATTCAGCTGTCAGGTAATCTACATCAGTATATTTGTGAATTTTACACTTTTCTTTTCTTTCCTGAACAGAAGTCCCTCTTTAGGAAGCGGAAGGATTGCTCAAGTTACAATTTTAACGACGTAATTTCAATAGTTGCTCAAATTCAATCTTATAAACCTTACATGAAGCTGATATCCTTACCTTGAACGGCTCAAGCTCTACCTTCATTATTCCATGCTCGTTCGCTGTAGCCAGCCTGGCGAATAGGGACAAAAGTTGTTGGCGCTCTTTCTCGGAAAAGGAACGATAGCTGTCTTCATACTCTATTCCTCGACTTGCCAAAATTCCCATATTTCTTGTGGAGATCTCACTGAAGTCGCTCGATCTTTGAAATGATGGTGAACTGTAAACACTGCGAGACGTTCAAGGAGATTGGTAACTAGCTTAGTGAACAAGTCACGCAATAATGTTAGCAACGTTATTAGTAACGCAATGGTTACTGCTAACGTTACACGTTGCATAAAATATTGAGTAGCCGAGCCGACAGTGAGGATTATGTTCATAATAATCGACCTTATGACGTACCTGTAATAATTTTAATTACTTCATCAAATAATGTCAATAATAAAGCAATATTATATTAAAACTTAGTGAAAAATAGTCGAAATTAAAGAAAAGACAAAGAATATTTGTTTGACCGAATGCGATCATAAACAAATAACACCAGGGCAAAAATTAGCCTGATCGCAAGGTTTAACTTGATTCATTACAGATTGTTTCTAACACCAGTGGATTGTAGATTGTCGCTCTCGAGATAAGAAAGAGAGCCGAGCCTTACGGGGAGGGGAAGTTTACACAACAAAGTTTTATATGAGGGCGGGAGAGCCGCACAAGGTAGAGGTCCAAACCTTTACACTCTTGATATATGCATGAGGCTAAAATTCTAAAAGCTAGAAAAGAAAAACTTAATTATTACAAAAACCGAACGTTTTCGACTTATTGTCGTCATGAGGGTTTCCCTTTCCCTTTTTATTAACCATTTTTGACAGAAAAGGTAAAGCCTTTCATAAACCATTCTTTGACAGTGCTGTGGTATCCCCTTCGGGAGGCTCCACCCGAAAGGGATACTTATACCGGACAGAGGGATACATATGCTGTTCAGTACGGGGCTTTTACTAACCTTACAAAACAGTCCACCAGAAAATTCCTAACCTTAGAAGCCCCCAGATCATTTCAAATCCCAAAAGGCCTTCACAACTCCTCGTCACTAATATAACGTTACAAGATATTTTGAAAGGTTCTTTTACATGAAATNTAAATAATTCTGCACTGCTTACCAGTCCATTGGGCATTGTTTGCATGCCCATATTGAGATACATGAAGTTCTCGTTGTAGCCAGTAGGGTGATACACACCCATGTTAGGCTTTACGCTAAACAGAAAGCAGTAGCTATCACCTACAGAGAGATTAAGAATACAGATGATGTGGTTAATTAAAATACGCATTACCAAATACATGTAAATGTTATAAAAGATACAGTTCTTTTACCTTCAATCTTGCAAGCACTGAAAACGGTTAGTGCAAGTGCACTTCAGATTCCCTACCCTTTCATTCCCAGTCTGAAAATGTTTCCATTCTGGGCAGAGCCTCCTCGTTTTGTCCATCATTAAAGGAGTGCCCCCTCCTCCTGGGGTATAGTTAAGGTGTGTGTGTCAAACTGCTTGGGGTTATTCAAGGGGAAGAGGCTTCTCACCAGCGACCACAAATACATGGATATAAGTACCTGGGACACTAATTGGCCCTAAGCAAATGCTCTTTAGGCTTTAGCATATTTTTCCACCATTATAAGCTTAAAATATATAGTATATACTCACCTACAAAATGAGACTTGATAGTCCAACTCATTGAGGCAAACCCTCCAAAGACATGTCCACTAGTGTCTCTGACCACAATTACCACAGGTCCTTGATTGGTTATTTGGTGAATGAAAGCACTGAAGCTCTCACCATGAATCTGAGTTGAGAACAAAAGCCGCCATCGATGTTGCTGTGATGCCGGTAAGTGATGATTAATGAGGACAATAGATGGAATATCCAACAGTGAATCAATTTTACTGAAATCCACTTCAAACTTGCATGGCATTATGATGTGTGACCTGACATATTTAAAGTTGAAGTTTAACAATGAAAAACAAAAATGAAATAAAAAAATAGAACAACAACAAAACTATGTAGCACCTACGTACAAATAAAGACTCAAAACCCAAATCTATCAGCCTCCCCTGGAGGTGTTCAGTTAGTTTGAGGCGTGGGAGGTGGGGGTGGGGAGGGGCACACATGATATTTTACTTGCTATGACTTGCTGTTTTTCCCACTTACCCAAACACCTGGAACAGGTTGTGAATTTGCCTGCAAAACTTGCAACACAGTTTCAGAAGATTATCGGTTGTCACAGAGTTTAATTACGTTGTAGATTACATGCACCACCTTTAGGTATTATGCTGCAGTACTGACCTGTCATACTGAACATGTGCAACTGTCTCTTCACATCCTTCATCCAGTCCATGAGGCTTCTCTTCTAACAGACTCTCCACATCAAGGAAACAAGCTCTTGACACAGCAAGAAACAAATTTTCAATCAGTGGAAACTTACCAAACCATGAGACAACTTCCTCAGGAGAAACACAACTAGGATCTGTTTTCTTCCCTAGAAGATCTTTGATGGCATTTTTGGCAAATCTATGGTTTGCTTGTGCATTTGTTTGCAGCTTCCATTCTGCACCAATGCTTGTCTTCTTTAATGCAATTACATAGGCATCCAATAGTGTTTTACAGAGATCTTCTACCTCTACGCTGGTTACAACTTGATCAACATCAGCTGTTAAGTAGTAAAATATGTGTGCTTTCTCTTCTCTGCTTCTTTTAAAGATATGAGACATGGACACAAAGAAAGCCACCTTTCCCACTTGTCCATTCTGCAGCGGATTTTTCAAAGCTCTACGAGCCCGCTGAATATTGCACATTTCTTTAAAGAAACGGTCAATGATGGGCTCTGGCAAAAGCCATGTCAACTGGTTCTGCAATTGAGCAAAACAAAGTAACATGATTATCATTTTAAACTGACTTGTACTTGTAAGCTCGTACATTCTCATGCTGTGATTTAAAACATGTTTTACATTGAAAGCATTCAGCAGTTTCTTATTCATTCTCTACTGTTTCAGTATATTGTGCAGTTCAAGAAAATATCCATACTCTCCCCACAGAAGGGATTGGAATTTCCTGGGGGGACGGGTGGGGGATTCTGTAAAACCAAAAAATTTAAAGAAATGTATGAAGCTTAACTGGAATTTTCAGAGGGGTGGGGGTCTTGTAATAAATCCCTTCTGCTGGGCAGGTATGGATATTTTCTAGAACTACACATTTACTATTAAAACAAAAGAAAGGGTAACCTGAAAACACTGACCCTTGGTCCACAGACCCCCCACTATGGACTGGGTTCATGGACTACCCTATGGACCCCCTCTACACACAAACCCCAAAAATAAATTTAAAATTATTAGAACAAATATAGACCTACTGGGTGTCTAATAGATAACTTGTGTTCTGCAAAATTTTGAGTGTTATGCTATGCAAATGTACCAGACTTGGGTTCAGGTTCAAGGGCAAGTTACATCATTACACACTGCCATTTCCTTTGTTGTGGCTATTTATGAGAGACCGGGAGGCCTAGAAATTTGTGCCCTTTCCCTCCGCCATTTATGTCCAGCCCATTCTCTTGTGGGTTCATGAAGTCATCCTAGACTTCAAAATTTGCTCAATGGAATAACAGATACAAACAATCTTAAAAGACTCTAACATTATACAACAAATCTTAGGTCATCTTTTGTGGCCAGATTCAGCCACCCATGGAAGGTAAGAACTTTCTTTCTTTTTGCCATTGGCATCTCTTTTTGCAGAAAACAGCTCTCAGAAATTATTTTGGGGGATTTTAAAAAGCCAAGTATGGTACATTTGTATAGCATGACACTCAAAATTTCACCAACACAACTGATCTTTTAGACAACTTGTAAGTGAAATCTTCATTTGTTGTTGGGTGGTCTGTAGAGGGGGTCTGTAGGGGTAGTCTGTTGACCTGTCAGTGTAGTGGGGTCCACAGACTGGGGTCAGTGTTTTCAGGTTACCCCAGCAGAAGACATAAACTTAATAAATTTATAAAATTGCACACCATAAACAAATCGAAACTATAAGTATATTTATTTATAAATATTCTCATCTTGAGTTCTCCCAAGATTTTTTGAGTTCTCTCAAACTTGCACAAACTTGTTTCATGATAATAATGGTAGTAAATACATGTAACTTTATATTAACAAGGAGAAAATGTTCTCTATTTCTGTTACAAGAAGCTGCAAGAAAAAGAATGGAAAATTTACAATATTATTACTTTCATAATTTATTGAAATGTCAATTCTCTTGCTCACAGCATCATTATGTCAAAGCTCATGAACAGAACTGACTTTTAAATGTTGACCTCTGTGTAACATGTATGTATACAAACATAGAGATAGTGGTATATGTATACAGTTAAAGTAATTCTTTAATACCTGTACGACCATTATGTTGTGATAAGCTCTATTAATCTGAGCCAGTGAAATTAGCAATTTTACTGTCAGTTAATATGAAAACTACTTATAACTAATATAATCTTCCTTGTTGGAAATATGCAAAGAGGTGATGCATAAAAAAGACACGTCTAAATAATATATTGCTGGAAAAAGGTCCAGTCAATTTATAATAATCATACTTAAAATGGCTTGGTTGATTTTCGTCTTATAACCATCTCATGATCATAAACATTAACACAATCACCAGCAACTTAAACCTTTATCTTCATCTAGTTTTAAATACGGTTAGATTTTTGGTACCTTGAGGCCACTGATGGTCAGATTAGTACTAAGATTTAACTGAAACTATAAAATATACTTGTTTATTAAATATTATGACTTTTCCCTGATGTCAAACTGTAAAAGTTAGTACTAAGAGTTTGTTTCACAAGTAAGGGAATATTGACTGAGTTGAAATTATGACCTCCTGAAATAATCTGTAACTTAAAACAAAAGCCGCCATATAACATCTCTAGATTTTATCCAACAAATGATTTTCAGCAAGGCATGCACGTATGTAACTCTGTATGTTAATTGATCCCTTTAATTACACTTTTAAAGATACAGAAAAATAACATTAGCTGCAGCTGCAGAGAGTCATAAACAAGAACAGCTGCTCTTTAGAAGTGAAGTCTTAAAATGATGGGCCTTATATGGGCATGACATATACGTTTACCTCAAGTCAGCACTATATATAACAGTATATCTACTGCATTTCATGCTCTAAAAGGAAAAGTTAAACATTTGTCAGTTAATGTGAGTGCTTTAAAACTTTGTACACTACTGAAAGTAATATATGTTCTTCAGATCACTTTCCTTGTACCACACGGGTTGCATTCTGATTTGCATTTGCTGTACATGTACTCACACAAAAATTGGAAAACGCTGCATTAGCTTGCAATGCAAAGCACTTTTTATTAAATGTCAGGCTGACCTCCTTTGTACCTTGAAAAAGATTTTTAAAAAATTGCTGAGAAAGATCAGATCTATTTACATTTATTTGACAATGTATATCCTATACCCAGATACAACTGGAAATAGCAGTCAATATCGAATGCAATTTTATCTGGAAATCCACTGACAATTCTACCATTCTTGAAATTGAATTTTTTGTGGAAAAGTGTCAAAATGAACATTCTAGTTTAGCTCACGTTTATTCAGAAAACTGTTAAGAACGGTAATCACGGTCCACAAAAGCCAGCCCCCCTAATTAAAATTACATCTACGAATTAAAACTAAAATTTTTTTCGGTACGAAAAATACAGCACCAGGAAAAATGTTTCTAACACTAGTGAATGAGAATGTAGCAAAAACAAAACACAACCTTGTGTAAATAAAATTTGTTATGACAGCAACAGATAAGCCTCAATGATTTCAACTCAAGGGAAACGAACAAAAATACATGGACAGCTGGAAATCGAAGGCGTCAAAACTATTGGCATTAACACAAAGAGCTGCGTCAAAAAACAAGATGTGAACCAATTCAGCTGTCAGGTAATCTACATCAGTATATTTGTGAATTTTACACTTTTCTTTTCTTTCCTGAACAGAAGTCCCTCTTTAGGAAGCGGAAGGATTGCTCAAGTTACAATTTTAACGACGTAATTTCAATAGTTGCTCAAATTCAATCTTATAAACCTTACATGAAGCTGATATCCTTACCTTGAACGGCTCAAGCTCTACCTTCATTATTCCATGCTCGTTCGCTGTAGCCAGCCTGGCGAATAGGGACAAAAGTTGTTGGCGCTCTTTCTCGGAAAAGGAACGATAGCTGTCTTCATACTCTATTCCTCGACTTGCCAAAATTCCCATATTTCTTGTGGAGATCTCACTGAAGTCGCTCGATCTTTGAAATGATGGTGAACTGTAAACACTGCGAGACGTTCAAGGAGATTGGTAACTAGCTTAGTGAACAAGTCACGCAATAATGTTAGCAACGTTATTAGTAACGCAATGGTTACTGCTAACGTTACACGTTGCATAAAATATTGAGTAGCCGAGCCGACAGTGAGGATTATGTTCATAATAATCGACCTTATGACGTACCTGTAATAATTTTAATTACTTCATCAAATAATGTCAATAATAAAGCAATATTATATTAAAACTTAGTGAAAAATAGTCGAAATTAAAGAAAAGACAAAGAATATTTGTTTGACCGAATGCGATCATAAACAAATAACACCAGGGCAAAAATTAGCCTGATCGCAAGGTTTAACTTGATTCATTACAGATTGTTTCTAACACCAGTGGATTGTAGATTGTCGCTCTCGAGATAAGAAAGAGAGCCGAGCCTTACGGGGAGGGGAAGTTTACACAACAAAGTTTTATATGAGGGCGGGAGAGCCGCACAAGGTAGAGGTCCAAACCTTTACACTCTTGATATATGCATGAGGCTAAAATTCTAAAAGCTAGAAAAGAAAAACTTAATTATTACAAAAACCGAACGTTTTCGACTTATTGTCGTCATGAGGGTTTCCCTTTCCCTTTTTATTAACCATTTTTGACAGAAAAGGTAAAGCCTTTCATAAACCATTCTTTGACAGTGCTGTGGTATCCCCTTCGGGAGGCTCCACCCGAAAGGGATACTTATACCGGACAGAGGGATACATATGCTGTTCAGTACGGGGCTTTTACTAACCTTACAAAACAGTCCACCAGAAAATTCCTAACCTTAGAAGCCCCCAGATCATTTCAAATCCCAAAAGGCCTTCACAACTCCTCGTCACTAATATAACGTTACAAGATATTTTGAAAGGTTCTTTTACATGAAATAACAGTTTTTGCTACCCTTCTCTATAATATAACTCGTGAAGACCCTACCCTTTTATCTACCTTCAGCATGAAAAAGGAGACCTTATAGTTCATTATAGGAAGTACTTCATTGAAGAGGAGGTAGTGGTGGGGGGGTTAAAGTCTGAACGGCAAAAACAACAGACCCGAAATGTGTTATTTGAAAGGACGTTTGCAAATTAATTCTAGATCTCCTGCTGGGGATGGATTTTTGTATATTTAAAGACGTGAAATCGTGAAAGCTATCCTACATTTGAAGTGTTGTCTTTCCATCTGCAAATAACGACGAAAACTGGATTATCTTCAACTGCAACAGCAGAACATTTTTGCAATCGCTGCCAATACCACTTGTCGTATTTCACGAATTTTCCAACAGTACAGAAGCGGATTCAGCGAGGAGTTCACAAAAATCAAAGTCGCACTTAGGAACCTAAAAATCTTGATGATTCTGTTGACTCCCCTTACATGAATGACAATCAAAATGCAGAATAGTGGAAGATAGCAAAGGATGAAAGCTAAGTAGACATACAACATATTGTTAACAGTCTTTTTATAACGAGCTAGGTTGAAGTTGTGTCTCTTGCTTAGTGAGCGAGTCTCAGATGAAAGCTCTACAGGGGCTACCGCTCGAAAGCGCCCATTTTGATGTCTCAGTGTTAAATATATCTTTAAGTAACAAACCGTAGTCAAAAATAGAAACACTGCTATTATGGCATTAGCCAGAGCGTTGTAAACGATGTGATTCCACAAAACAAATGATGTGCCAGCAATTGTGAGTATCCACAACAGGATCAAAAGGATTATCACCCTTTTCGTCGTAACTAAGATACGATACCGCAAGCGGAAATACAGCGCCAGATAGCGGTCAATGGCTATCCCAGTTAGAGTCGCGAAAGAAATGTATGGCACAAGCCAGTTCACTACGTAGAAGATAGCTCCGATCGTGCGCGAAACTTCAAGCCGGCCAGTCATCGCCGTCAAAACAGCGGTGATGTACAGCGGTTGAACCACAGCACCAACCCCCAAATCTGCTAATGCCAAACTGAACAGAAATACCTTAAGCACCGAGTGGATTTGCAAAGGGGACAATTTCCAAAGCGCAACCATTATGAACGTGTTGCCAAGTACTGCTATAGCTGAGAAAACCACGTTTACTGCAACATCTGCTATGTACAAAGCGAACGGAATATCTGAATCGAAGTAAAGTCCACTTAAAACGAGGGAAAAGTTGTCCGCCATTCTTTTGTATATCAGCGGAGTTTCTTGTCTTGTGTCGACTGTTAGTCACTCTGGGTAATTTGAGACGTTCAGTTGAAAACGATGAGCATTAAGGCACTTTATAAGGTTCATTCACAGTCGCAGTTTCCTTCTCAAACTTGTGACAGGAAATTTGATCTTTCGTTCGCTTGGATTAAACAGCCGACAAATTAAAAAGAAATCACTTGGGTATTGCAATTAGTGTGTACATAAGGAGCATTTTCTGTTGATTTTGATTATAGCTTATGTTCTAGGAGGAAATTGGGTTTTAGGAAAGGAAACCATTGAAGATTCAAATGATGAAGAAACTGTAATAACTTAACCCAATGGTAGATGGTAACTCACTCTGTCTTACTTTATCAACACTGACATTAGCTTACTGACAACGACCAAGTTGCTGTTTTCGATTGAACAGGGGTCTGTGTACCACATGATTTCTGAAAAGGAGGGAAATTGAGAAAACACACGATTATTTATCTGGTTCTTAGATGTTAACTCTGGGGTGGATAGAGGATTTTAGGGGGTACGAGATACGGACCGCCGAATGCGGTCCCCTGTAGGGGGGGGGGG